ACTTGTCTTTTCCAAAAACTGCTCCATCCTATTTTTGTCCTGTTTTGGCAAGGCTTTCTCGCTGATGTTCACCAATTCCCTATGAAAAGACAATGGTATTACAGCTCTTCAAAAATTAAAATAATTCATACTTAGCCAAGATTTCAAAAGTTTCTTTCATTTCAGTTGATTTGCTGTCTTGAATATGTGCCATGACTTCTGTAACCTTGATAGACAATTCTTCTGTCAATTCTTTGAATCTTTCTTTATTCTCTGATACTTGCTTGATGAATTTTCAAATACCTATTAGTATCTAATTACTAACTGCGCAGGAACACTTACATGGTAGATTTGAATATACTCAGAAACCACTCCAAGTGCAATACCCAACCCTTTACCTGCCACTGGAATAAATCCAGAAAGTTCTCCCAGAATTTTAAGGCCTTTCTCTGCAACAGCACCAGCAGTCTGCAATGCTTGATGCTGAGTCAAGGACTTTGAAGGGCTCTGTTCTTCAACTGCAAGTGGCTGACTACTATAATGGCCAGAACATTCTTGGACTCTTCCTGGAATAGGATCAGACAATACAGAAACATTTGACCCAGAGCTTCGGAGACTGCGCGAATCCTGCACAATATTTCCCAGCTCAGGTGTACTTTTGGGAAGTTCAGGAGTATTAGTTTTATTGCCTTTATGAGACCAAAATTTGTTGATCCATTTCTTGGATTTTTTGGGTGTGTCCATTGTATCTCTGACTGTAACAAGGGGTTATGTTTTATGAGATGTGAAGATGCTGTAATTATATTTGCATATCGCTTACAGAGAAGTATACAGTGCAGCCAACTAGGATCCAAGGTTGGTGAGAATCATCAGCACATCACTGTCTCGGGACCCTTTATACAGCACTCAAGCTTTTCTCACGTGCACAGCTTTATCGATCATCCGAAGCTCCGATATAACAGATATGACCCAGGTACTTAAACCCAATTTGAAAGCCAGTTTGACGGCCGGTAATATCGTGTCGACACGATTCAATAGATTCCAAGCGCATGGCGTGCATGGAATGTATCCTCATTTACCCATCGCTGACGAGGAGGAAGCTGATTTGCAATATACTCGATATTGAATTCCGCCAGCCTTGCATCGATGAGGTAACCGCTGTACAGAAAACCGCGTTTGTGAGGGCCCTTGTTCAGTCAGGTTCTCGATTTCCAAACTCGCGCAATCAAAAATTCCGAACAGTCACTCACCATCATCAGGTAATGTCGTGCTGGCAAAATTCCACATGTTCCGGTAGTATGACCTGCAAGAAATGTATACGCGTACCCCTGGTTCGACGAGAAGGAACTTAGTTCACATTGGAGTCTGTGGCAAGGAAATGGAGGTTGGATAATGAGGTGAAGCGGAGATAAGCCAACGATCGGACGAGAAAGCAACGGGCATAGCGGACAAGAGATACACAAGTAGTTGTCGAGGTGCTTTGCAAAAGGAAAAAAAAAGTTGTATGTGTACGACAAAGTAATATGGTTATGGTCCAAGTTTTCCGAGAACCATCCCGCGAAAGGTCATTTTGTTGTCGTCGTCGGCATACTACTTTTACGCTCGTGCATTTTCAAACCAGCTAAGTATCTCTTAGTGACTCCATCAAAATAGGGAAGTTAACCTTCCTGGGCGGCCGCTGTCGTGCCTTTTTACGTCCAGAACCTCTCCCGACCAAATTTCAAGCAATCCTCTTCTTCCTCTGTATTTTCGCTGATCAATTTGAGACGCTTGATATTACCAGGGTTTGAGTCTAGAGATTGTCGAAGTCGAAGTTGAGAAATGTCACTGGGCGCCAATTCACCATATTGAGCGCTTAGGTGACCCGAGGGATCAATCTCTCACCGTTCCTAACTACTGCCACGTCGTCGTCGAATGCTCACTGGACATCGCGTTACTCACTGAGGGGTACTGCTCAGTACACATCTAAATAAATGCTCCAGATATCAGCATATCTCCTGTTCCTTGTATTCTTTTTATTAACCACCACCTTTTCCCCGCAATTTGTCCATGGTTACACCTCGTATTATCCACACAACCGGCTCGGGGAGAGGGCCTTCCCTGAATTATCGACTCATGAAGTCAAGGCTCTCATTGACACGCCGGATCCGCTGAAGGGTATTGATAGGCATTTGGAGAAGATTATGATACCAAGAGTATGTACGTACCCCTACCCTACCGCCGTCCAAACCTTTGTTCCTCAATTCTTACAACTCTTCTTCTCTCTTGTGTTTTGCTAGCCGACACCGAAAACAACACTCTCGTCCGAAACTACATCATCTCCACCCTCCAATCCTTAAACTGGCACGTCGAACAAGACCCCTTCGAGGGCCAAACCCCCTTCGGCATCAAGAAATTCGTCAACATCATCGCTACCAAAGACATACGAGCCAGCAGACGCGTGGTCCTTTCGGCGCACTACGACTCAAAGTATTTCGCTCCGCCGAATGATCAATTCGTAGGAGCGACGGATAGCGCGTTTCCTTGTGCGGTGTTGTTGGATATTGCGGAGAGTTTGAATGAGATGCTTGGTGGGTGGTTGCTTTTTTTTTTTGCTGTTGTCGAGTTGTTTCAGTCTGAGTTGATGGAATTGGGTTTAGAAAAACGGCTAACTCATCTTGAGAATGATGATTTGGCTCCGGATGAAGACGAAGACGTGGCGGATACGACGCTTCAATTGGTTTTCTTCGATGGGGAAGAGGCTTTTGTGAGTTGGACGGATACAGACTCAATATACGGCGCTAGGTACGTGGTCCTGGACCATTTCGTATCCATGATGGTCCACCTAACGCAGCCTGGTAGAAACCTCGCAGATGTCTGGTCATCAACGTATATCACTTCCGACTCACTTTCGGCTGTGACCACCGTCAACGCGACTGCCCGGTCGCTGGAAGAGGAAGGGAATGACGAAGAGAGTGCAACACTGTCGCCTCGTCGGTTGATTCCTTCAAGCTCGCTGACGCTTCTGTCCACCGTCGAGCATCTCATCCTGCTGGATTTACTCGGTGCCAAGGATCCCGCGATCAAGAGTTACTTCAAGGTTCATCCTCCTCAGCGGTTTCAACGTTTGTTCTGTTACTAACGAGTTTCGGTTAGGATACCGCTTGGCTATTCGAACAACTCAAAAACACCGAAAGCAAACTGGGTGCAATGGACGCGTTCGTTTTCGAGGACGGTATGCTTTGCTTTTTTTTTCTTCATTGTGTAATGTTTTACCTATCATTCGATCTACTCTACAACAGACACATCCATGTCATCAACGACCTACCGATCCTACTTCCACCCCGTCCCTCTCGCGTCGAACTCTATTAATATGGGATACATGGGCGACGACCACGTTCCATTCTTGAGGAGGGGTGTACCGGTGTTGCATTTGATTTCGGAGCCGTTTCCCCATGGTGAGTTTGTCTGCGGGTGTCTTTCCGCGTGTCACATTGCCTAATCTTAACCGCTTGAACTAGTATGGCATACGATAAGGGACGACGGGTCAGCGCTGGATAGGGCGACGATGAGACGGTGGAATATCCTCATGAGGGTGTTCACGGCCGAGTATCTGCATCTCAAGCCCGAGTTGCTCAGTGGCAGGGAAGAAATACGGGACGAATTAGTGAGTACATGTCTGTTGTGTTGTGGATGGTTTGTGTGAGGAAGAGCTCATTGTTGCCTTGCTTTTGTCAGTAGACGTAGACATGTAGATGGGATTTTTGGTTACAATTGTGCCGGGGTCCAGGGATTTGATGGATATGGGAGTGGGGACATTATGGGTTATGGGTTGTCCGACGGACTCGCGATCGCTGCTTGTCTCGCAGCGGCGCCACAACAAGGGCCTGGAGTACGCGATATAAGGATGATGGGCTCAAAGCAGAGGGCGTAAAATACCGTACCGTAACTGTACCGTATACCATAAATAAGGTAGCTCCGCTCCGCTCTCAAATAGTCTCCGGCAACACCGCCAGCCCATCCTTCATCTTGGCAATCGTCGCCCCCTTTGAATACAACACCTCCCCACACTTGCCGCACCTACTCTCCCAACACCTCGCGGCCTCCTTCCACTCCTCCATCTCCCACGAGCCAATAAAGTCGCCCTTGGGACACTTGTCCATCTCGTGGAAGATGCGCGCTTTGAGTTCGCGCCAGGCGGAGTTGTCGATCTGGCTCGTGCAGGCGGTGCAGCGGGAGGATTCGGAGTTGCCTTGGGAGAAGATGTGGGGGTCGTCGAGGTGGGTTTTGAGGAGGTCGCGGCGGGAGCGGTGGAGGCGGAGGAGGGAGAGGAGGGATTTGGAGGAGATGCATTGGAGGGCGGAGGTGTCATTGGATCGTGGAGATGGATCGTTGGGGTGCGGGTTGTGGTTCGGGTTCGGGTTCGGGTTGAAGTTGGGATTGGAGGTAGCAGGGTCGTCTTCATCTGTAGTGCTGCTGTCAGACTCTGATTCGTCGTAAGCGAATAAATTGAGTGATAAGGAATGTTTAGAAGCGAGTTTGGCTTCTGGGATCCAGTTGAAGTGGGTAGCTAGGGCGTATAGACGGAGGGGGTGGGCGAGGAAGGGGGGTGAGGTTATGGATAGGCGGAGGATGGATAGGGGGCCTGGGGCGTCCCATGATTCGGCGAGGGTGAGGAGGGAGGAGATTTGGGAGATGGTTTTGAGTTGGTGGGCTCGTTCGTCGTAGTGGTCGTTGCTGGAGACGGAGACTGTCCATGGGGGGATGGGGAGACCGCTCATTAGGCGGAGCATTGGTTCGAGGATGGCATCGGGTTGGGAGGCTGGGATTGGGGATGAGGAAGAGGAAGAGGAGGGTAGGGAGAGCAGAGAGTTCCAGAAGCCAGAGGTGGATTTTAAGATGAAAGATGGGATGCGATATAGAGTGCCTTCCGCGGATTGTAAGACTATGTCAGCTTCGGGTGAATCAAAGGGTGCACGGTATACTCGAACGTCCGCCGTCGACATGGTGGTGGTGGTGGTAACTGAGAAAGAAGAAAAAGATGATTCGACCCGGGCTCGAACCGGGGACCTTCTGTGTAACGTGAGAGGTGCATTTTGGAATGTTAGACAGATGCGATAACCAACTACGCCATCGAACCATTCTTAAAGGAGTTCGTCAAAGAATTGGAATTCAAGCCAAGTTCAATGTAATTGCAAAAAATGGTCAACAACAATATCCGACGACGCCAGCAGGATTCGAACCTGCGCCCTCAAAGAGGAACAGATTTCTAATCTGTCGCCGTAACCACTTGGCTATAGCGCCGATAATTTTTACTTACGCCCCATCCATGTTACTCCTCCGCAACACTTCTCAAATCCTGCTCAGCACCTCTTCCCTCCACCGGATCTCAACTGCTCCCTCCCGCTTTCAATTTATCCCGCCAAGCCACTCGGTGTTGCCACTCCTCAACATCCTAGCTCATGCATCCCATAAATGATGGACCCTGCCAGCTCCCCCTGTCGACTGAAAGTCGCATGACGCTACTTCCCCTACATCCTCAACATGCAGTGCATTCAATCCAACTCGTTTAAACTTCAAAAGGCCAAGCCAAAAGGGCAAAAATCCCCGTAAAATGTCCAACTTTGTCTAACTCGTAGTACTTGACTATTCTGTAATAAACGTCAGTTCAGACAATTACTGGCGTGAGTATATAAAGGCAAGACCGCGCCATGGGCTGCAGCTTGAAACTACGACTTTTTTCCTGCCCCGCCCTACTCTCTCTCCATGCAACTCAAGACTTTTATTAGCCTAGCTGCAGTTTTCACTTCCCTCGTCGGAGGAGCAGCTGCTCAGGCGTCCTTTGTCCGTCTCCCAACCGCCAACTCCACTTTAACTCAAGGACATCATTTCGTCGTTCAACTCGTTCGTCCGGTAGGTCCCCTTATCCCGCATCTCGTTCGACTTCCCATTACCCATCCCCAACGACCATATAAAACAGAACAGCATCCAAGGCTCCATCGAAGTAGGCCTCGCCATAGGCGTCCTAACCTGCACCCCCGGCTTCCCCTGCCCAGACCCGACATCTCAAATGGGCACCGTCCTCTACAACGGACAGTATAACCCCAAATTGCATGAACTTCCCGGAGAGCCCTACGAGAATTTCACATTGACGATTCCTACGGGGTTGCCTACTGGGCAATCGCAAATTGGCGTTGTACGGCTCCATCTTATTGGGGTGAGTACTTGAGCGTGAACAGAGCAGGGACTTGACGGATGACTCTTTTTTTTTCATTGATACGCGTATAGGCTGGACCATCGGCGGTTTTGGAGCAACATGCCGTCCCAGTTACTGTGGTATAAGAAAAGGACTTGAATCGAGTTTCACGCATACACTATGATATCAGAATATCGAGTTGATCGTCTTATTAATAAATATCTACAAAATCAATCTACGTTTTATCATCCGCCACCTCCGAGTTTCGAAATCCAAAAAACTATATACTTATCTAATAACTTGCGCAAAAAAAAAAGAAAAGAAAAAAAAATACCAAGCGGTTAAGGTAACTGACTAGGACTCAAACTATCATAGATCGGACATAACTCTTTCCAGTCCGCTGCGAAATGAAAATCAGCAAAATCCAAACCTTCCGTGACTTAGAAACGTACCTGGAACCGGATCGTCCTTTTTCGTATCGCGAGTATCTTCAGCAAAAACGATAGCTAGGCCGAGGTCGAGGTGCAGGTCGATGTGACTTGTGAAAATGAAAGAGTAAGAGCGTGAATCGATGACCTCGTAAAGCAGGACAGAAATGCAAAAAACTTACCAATGGAAAAACCAAGGACCGGCGTTGTCAGTTACGAATCGAATCGTTGTTTGATTCCCCAATGCAACTGGGGTGGTATCCCGACGGATCTATGTTTTTGAGTTTCATCAGTATCAGCAATAATCAAAGAAAAGAGAGAGAGCCTTACGGGGTTGACAAAATTGTAGCTTGAGTTTTCAGAGGTTCGAACAACATCGAACGCATGCTAGAAGAGATGGAGCCTCGATCTTAGCCAATTCCTACAACCACTCGAAAATAAAGATAACTTACACCATGCTTTATCAATCCAAAAGAAAAAAAGAGAAAACCAAAGTCAGAACAATTCCATTCACCTCTCCCTGCCCTTTACTCACCAAATGGAAAGGGTGCGGACCCCCAGGAACATTGTCCCCAAATAGATTAACCTCAATCACCTTATTAGGCGGAAGCGTATACACACTCCCATTCGGCAACAAATCCTGAGCATGCTGAGCTCCGCTAAGAATCTGCAAAAGTACCGGCACCTTTGGGGGCACAAAGGGCACATTATTAACCAAAAACTGGACCGTCGAAGCGTTGAACCCCAATGAGAGGTTCAACACCAGATCGGCACCGCCTGGGTAAGGCTTTCCTGGAGCTCCGGGATTTTCGAGCGGATGAAGATCGCTTTCGTGGAAGACGATGACTTCTGAAGAGGGAGGTTCGGATGTTGTAGGTTCTTCATCTGGGGCTCCTTTGTATCGAAGTATACCAGAGTTGACACCGTTGGTGTAGTTTAGTGCCCCCACGCCGGAACTGGGCAAGGCTCTGATGCGGTAGTTGTCTATTTTTTGACAGGCATTGAGGACGAAGGAATATCGCTGGGCAGGGTACATCTCGATGAAGGTGACTGTAAGCGGTTGGGTATTGACACCATCAACTTCGATGATGGTTAGATTATGTCCGTCGATAGAAAAGCCGTGGAAGGCGTCGAATGACATTGAGATTAGGCGGAATCGGTAGCGTCTTCCTTGTACGACGTTGATGACTTCTAGAGGAGTATTTGGCTGTGCCCACTATGGATTAGTCTTCGACAGACCAGTAATTTTCGCCACTTACTCCTCCTGCATAGCGGCCTTTTCCGTTAATGAGCGTTGCATCGGCAGCTGGGGCAACTAAAGCTGCAAGAAGCTGCAAGCTCGTTTGATGAAACCTAGGATGTAAGTTAGAACTCGAGTTCCGCCGATAAGCAAGAGTTTATACCAATCCGCAAGTGTGATAATTGTAGATTCTTATGCCAGGAGCTTGAGTTTGGAATCACAGTATAGTGATGAGAGCTTACCGTCATCCACGTCGTACAAGCCTCGATGGGGATCTTGAGGGTCGTAAATCACAAGTGGCCCTCGCAGCCCATCGCCGTACTACGAAAAATCAGCATCGCATTACAGAAACAAACATCCAAAAGACATACCTGCACTGTAAACGAAGTCGAGATATGAGTTGAAGTCAGCTTTACCCGATTAGAAGAATATCTTGCCTGATAAATGAGAGTGGTACCTGCATATCGTCAGCTGTCAGTATACTGCATCATCACTGAACCTCAGCTACATACCAAAACGTGCCAGCCTGATCGGGCACACTAAAATCGTAAATGAATGAATGATTGGGCGCAATAGGACACTGCGAGACGAATGCCACTCCATCGGCATAGTTTGTTGTCTTTTGAAAGAGACCATGCCAGTGCTACGTTGGGTTGCAAAATAAAAAGAAAGAAAGAAATCTCGGAATGAGCCTGGAATTTTTGAATACCATAAGGAGGAAAAAACAACTAACGATACTAGTGCTTCTGTCCATTGTAGGGTCCGTGAGCAGGTCGGTAACATTGATGATGAATCTGTCGCCCTAAATTGATATAGTACACACGGTGATTGAGCTGAGCAGAATATGTCAAACAATCAATTTCGGTGTCATACCTTTTGTCCCGAGATCAAAGGTCCAGGAAATGAACCGCCGTCAGGTGTTGTGCCAGCGAGGACGGTTCTGTTTGGTACCAAGGTCAATGAGTACCGATTTGAGAAGAAAAAAGGGCTCACGAGCGCTGATATCCATCAGGAGCAATCTCTTTATTAACGATATAAAGATGTTCGCGGTGCTCAGAACCGTATGACCCGTTAGACCCGGGAATTGTCCTCTTCACCTCTACACCATGAGAGAGAAGGGACAGCTGCAAAATAAGGAATGTGATGGGCAACAGCATGAATAATGACAGTGGGTTGAAAGCCGAGAGCAGACAAAGGACTCGACGTAGCCAGAAGAAAATCCCTTCAAGCATTTATAGTTGCGAGTCTATGATTTCATGTCGGCAGCTGGAGCAAATTTGGCGAGATGAACTTCATTATTACATGTTAGAAGCGAACCTTCTTACCGTAAATGAAGAGTTAGATGTCAATGTTTCTAACGTACATGTAATATTTCTAATTTACCGTTTAAAGCGAATTTAGTAGTCTTCGATGCTATCGAGACGATGCAGGGATAGAGAACAGACCGCAGAGTGAGGTTTTCGAACCCATTAATCAAGTTTTCACCTGGTGGAAAGTGTACCACCGGGCCCCAAAGTCTACGAACGATTTCAACGTCCAGTTACAGAGGCGAATAGCTCGGTTTCGGATGCGTTAGAATCGAACTTCATATAAACACCTGTCGCTTCAGAATTAGGAGCTGGCTTTTCCGAGCTACGCAGAATTCTAGTTGTCGGAGGGGCGAATGGATGCGTTCCATTCGTGTACCGCGGCCGATTCTACATCAGTTGAAAATCGTGCAAAATGCAGATCACTTACAAGTGCAATCCACTCTACGCTGAGATTTCTGCGGCGAGTATAGTGTCCAACTTGAATTCATACATACGTACCTACGTAAACTCCAAACATCGTCCTCAATTCAAATCTGGTCGCTAAAGTTTTCGCTTGTGCCAGCTTATCCGACGTCGCACTAACGGCACTCTGCGATAGGAGTTGAGGATTAAAGATGGCGGATTAGTCGGTGGAGAATATGAAGTACGTATGATGAGTACTTGGGTCAACTAGTGATCAACCGCATCGGCAACGGCAAGCTGGACACCGCTCGCGGTATTAACACGGGTAATCTGAAACTGAAGGAAGAATTTGGGCCTTCAGTCTTTCGAATAAGACCGCTGGGAATACAGTATAGATCGAATCAACGAGAGAAGGAAAAATCCATTTACTCAAACTCTGTGAAAGTTAGGGGTAAACAGATACTTAACACGTTATTACATGTCACCGGTGTCAACCTTAGGCTCCACTGCAGGTTACTTTCATCAAGTCATCGCCAGTTAAAGATAAGTTGGTATTCCTCGAGT